CCCCCGTTGCGCCGTCCCCGCCGCCGCCCCCGTTGCGCCACTGCCCGTACGCCGCCGCCCCCGTCGCGCCGTCCTCGTCGTCGCCGTCTCGCGCCGTCGCCCGTACGCCGCCGCCCCCGCTCGTACGTACACACACACATACACACACACACAATTTTTTTTTACTTATTTTCTGTTCTCTGTTTTTTAGATTAATGCATGTCAAATTGTTAATTAGATGAATTATCTAGATAAAAATGTTAGATTAATGTGAAATGTTAGATATGAATTAGATAGAAAAGTTAAATATTAATGTCAATCGTTAGATGAATTAGCTATAGATATTAATTAGGTATATGAGAATTGAACTAGTTGAATTAATATAACTAGTTTGTTTTTAGTAAATGCTTAGTTGAATTAATTAGTTGAATTAATAGAACTTGTTGAATTAATAGAACTAGTTGAATTAGTTGAAATAATAGAACTAGTAATGTTTCACATATATATAGAACTTAACTAGCTAGATGTTAATGTTAATGATTTTTTCTGTTATTTGTTAATGATTTTTTTCTATTTTTTAATTATATATATATATTTTTAGTTTATATAAATATTGGATTAATGTCAAATGTTAGATAAATTAGATAAAAATATATGTTAGATATTAATGCCAAATGTTAGATGAATATTAGAATTAGCTAGATATTAATTAATGTTAGATAGTAAGTGTTCAATGTTTCACCTATATGAACATAGGAAATGTCGTCTGACGATGAAAAAGATTTCATTATGTGCGAGCACTGTGAAGACCAACGCGGCCTGTGCGACAGAAATTTCCTTGTTGATAATAGGCGCGTCAGCATCAAGCTGGATGAGACATTCGAAGTGGATACAGTAAGTCACAACGGCAAGTATTTTTTCGTAATAAAGCATGACTTATGCTTCATTTGCTTGAACTTATAATTTTAAATTTTCACTATTCTACTAGCGCATCCCCGGACATGCTCGAATTTTTTTCTTGGATAAGATAGGTTTCAGTGCGATGAATGATATGGAGGTAAAGAGAGTTTACTTGAAGACCGAGCATGTGTATACTTTAAAGTCAAATTATACAATGCGGACACATACACCCATTTTGAATGCAAAACTTGGCAAGCACTATGCAAGGCTTATGCATTTGAGCCTGATATGGTTATCACCTTCGATATTCGTTCGGAAGATGATATTGAAGGTAATACAGACATCTGGATCGATGTGCAGACGCCTCCAGTTCTACCATTATGTGAGTTTTTCTCAACCATGTTTATGTCTTTGATATTGTTTATTCAAAAATAGTTGACAACTAATTTCTATTGTCAGCTTATTTCGGTTCAAGCAAACATGTCCGATGCTTGGTAGACAGGACCTACTAATGTCCCGGGGCTGAACTAAACTGCGAGGAGGTAAGTCATTATGTTTCATGGCTTGAGGATCTTCATACTGTCAAGAAAAATTTTCTTCCTGCACTTAAAAATGTAGTACTCAAAACATGCGACCAATAGTGATCGTATTGAACTACGGTCACATCTATAATGGAAAGATGGTAAGATTTTTACTATTTATCCTTAGTGCATCTTTTGCATACATTATTTTTGAAGCTAAACTTTCATTGCTAAGTATATTAATTATTATACGATGTTCTTCAACAGGGACTCCCGATGACAGTTGTGCCTTAGTGGATCGAGACAAAAGGTCGCATGTCAATGGTTAGCTTACAACCAAGATATTCTACATTCCACATGAGTGCATTCAGGATTTCTGAAAGCGATGAATGCTAATAGTGAAAGATTAGAGCAAAATTGTTAACGATCCCAGAGAAGTATTAGGGGGCAGCAAGGAGAAGCGCATCCCACGATTAGGAGACAAATTCATCTGCATGCTCCAGTATGATGAATCATGAGAGCTATACATGTTCTATGCTATTTTACCTGAGAGGGAGCAGCAGGAATGATTTAGCTAGTTCATGCTCTTAGTACTTGTCCTCATGTCCGTATTCTCGTCCTGAACTTAATTAATCTCAAAGAGTGATTTGCTTGTGAACGCTTATAATATCATGACCATGTTGAACTCGATGATATCTTTGCTTCTGTTACAAGTGAATGTTTCTTCTTTAAGCTAGTGTTGGTGGTGATTAGATAGCGGTAATGACTATGATGATTAAATAGTGGTAATGACGACTACGATGATTTTTAGCTAGCTAGTATATACTGTTGTTGGTGATGATATGATGCAAGAGTTTATATATTAATATGTGATAATGGTGATGAGTTATTATATATATTATTTATGAAAGAAACCGCAAATTAGTTTGAACTGGATGGATCTTAGCTAAGTGATCAAGTATATATATATATATATATATGCCATATTCATATTACTTGATCACTTAGGTGATCAAGTAATATATATGGATATATGGCATATACTTGATCACTCAGCTAGCTAATCCACATATGCATCCAGTCGAAACTAATCTGCGGTATTTTCACCTAATGATTTAACAACTCATTATAACGTAAAACAATCCTAAATTAAATTGATAACACAAATTTAAAGAAAAAAATAAAAAATAAAATCAAAACCCACAAACATTTAGTACGGTTGGTGTTACCAACCGATACTAATGATCTACCGCACCCGTGGCCTGGCTCGTGACACGTGGTGGCACTTTAGCGCCGGTTCGTGCCGAACCGGTACTAAGAGGGGGGGCTTTAGTGCCCACCCTTTAGTGCCGGTTATGGAGCCGGCACTAAAGGCCTTTACGAACCGGGACTAAAGCCCGGTTCTGCACCAATGTCTATTTTAGTGGGTTCTGCAACACTAACTTTATTGCAATAATAAGGACTGACTCATCTAATTACCAATTGAAACAGCTCACCTCAAACGTCCTGCAGAGCTTCTGTAATCACTAGCAAAAAGGCCCGAGCGTTGCAACGGTAGAAAAATAAATCTAGTCATATCTTTAGCTGGGTCAGTTGGACAAATTATGCGTGACCGGTTGGCAGATTATGACTCGATAATTTTATTTTTCTCCGACCTGACCCACAGTGCACCGCCAGATGGGCTTCCTGTGTTGGGCCAAAACGGGTGGCGAGTAACGAAACTAAATAGCTTACGTGAAATTAATTAAAACGGGACCAAACGAAGCGGGAAGAAACCAAGAATACCACCTCCTTTTAATAGTATATATATATATATACATATATATATATATATATATATATATATGTATATATATATATATATATATATAGGGTCGCGCTATTCGTCATCTGGGTGAGGAATATTTATTCTTTACCCCCTCTCTATTTTGACATCAATGAACCGTATTTTTACGTTTCGTAAATTTTGTCTTATTTCAACATAAAAAGAGAATGTAAGAAAATATGTACCCACCATAAAAATATTTTATGTTACGTAAAATTACGAATGTAAAAATAGTGTAAAACATACATGAAATATGATTTTTTTGTCTTATAACCTATTTTTTTTTGTTTTTTATACCAAATTTTACATATTAAATCAATACACATGTAACTATTTATATTTTAAACGTAATTTATTTAAGAAGCGATCGTAAGATTACCTCGGCTGAAGAATAACTTATTCTGCATCCTGCGTGATGAATAGTAACACTATATAGATATAGATATAGATTGCCGCGTTTCCTATCATTGCAAAAATGAAAAGAATTGTATCACGTCTCCTATAGATACACCCGAAATTCAAGGGAGGTTAATAGGAGGTTAGTGTGAATTTCTTCCCTACGTTTACGTAATTAAGTTGGTATAAATCTCAGCCCGGTAGTTTTATCGGAATCCATCTGGAACGCTAGCCCGTGCCTTGACGACGCTACCCGCGAGTAAGGTGCTTTTGGTCGGGATCAGTTCGGATCGGACTACAGGCTGGCTAGCTAAGGAATCAGTTCGGACTACAAGCTGGTTATATTACGGGCTGGTTAGATTACAGGGGTCTACACGTAACATAACGGCAAATTAAAGGAAGAAGACGGCCGTGGTCACAATGGCGATTAACCGACGGCCAAAGAAGAAGAGAAACACAAGAGCGGCTCACCGCGAACCGCTCGATTGGCTGGATCTCCCCTCCGAACTGCTGGAGCTCATCGCCCAGCGATCCCGCGATCCCATCACAGGGCTCACCGCGTTCCGGTCTGTCTGCCGGACATGGCGCGCCGCGTCAGGGCAAGCGCCTCGCCTGCTGCTCCCCGCCCCTCGGAACCGCTCCGCTCCCCGTGCCGGCTCAGCGCACGCGCTCGTCTTCCCCTTGCCGGGCGGGTGGTCGGTCGTCGTCGATGCCCGCGACGCGTCCTGCCGCCTCTCGCACCTGACCACCGGCGCCACCGCCGCTCTGCCCAAGATCAGCGCGGTCCACGACGGCAAGACCATGTCCGACATCAGGTACGTGCACCATACGGCTGACGAGAGCGCGCGCAAGGTCCAGATCCGCACCCCCTTCTATGATGTATCCTTCCGAACATACCTTGAATTCTCAGATCACTTCCGCTTCGCCATTCATGCCCCGCCCGGTTCTTTGTCAGCAAGCACAGACGACATGATGATCATCATGTTCCACCGCTGCTTGCTGGAACGAGAGAGCATAGTGGTCTGCCGGCCGGGAGACGCGGCCTGGACGAAGCTGCCAAAACGCCCGTCTTCTCGCTTCGACTATTTCATCGATGTAACCTCTTTTCAGGGCAAGATTTATGGCTTGGAATCTAATGGTGCCACATTGGTGTTTGACGCAACCACACTCGAGTTCCTCTGCTCGATTGATGCGCCACAGTCGACGTCCAAGCTTTACTCCATGATATATTGGCCTTACAAACATGATGATCCTGTCGATTTCGACTACTTCCATCTCGTTGCATTGCCAAGCAAACTACTTTTGGTCGTTCTAAGCGTGAAATCACTTGAGCCAGCAGGTTTTGCCTTCTTTGAGTTAACGTCTGGATCTAGGGATGGCCAGCTCTCCTGGCGTAAGGTAACAGGAGATGGAATCGGTGGCAACTACGATGTGTTCATGGATTGCCACCATGCGACCTTTAGCGACAATAATGGTGTTGGAACCGGAGCTCGGATATATTATGTTCTTCACCGGACGTGGCATCCCAAAGCATCGGCGTACTACTATGAGATGCATGACGGCAAGATGGAGTGCCTGTACATATCACTAGACGATAATCGTGAATACTCAACTAAGCCTAGTTGGTTTGTTCCCTAGCTAGTTTGTTGATTTTCCATGTGCATAGTGCGATCAACCATGTAAACTATGATCTGTTAATTGCTTTGCAGGCCTGGTGCGTACTACAGGTCCGATGTACTGTGTGCAAAATTTAAGATATCAGTTCTTTTTGTTCATGATGACAAACTGCAATTCGGTTTTGGTTAGGTTGATATGCATTTTTTTGTGAGGAAAAATTGGAATTCATTAATTAAGTGGCACCATGTTTGCATTACATAGGTCCGGAACCTTGTCCGGCCCAGAACGAAGCTACACCGCAGTGCGCTTCTTTATTCGACCAAATTTCGCTAAAAAGTGACTAACAACATTTTGTTCACACCTCACAAGCTTAACTAAGAATTCATCATGTTCCCGAAGACGCGAAGTAATCTTGCGGATCAACATCACATGCTCCGACCGGTCGCCAATACCTTCTTCGATTAGTTTATCACTTCTACGCAGTCCATTTGAATCACAAAAGGCAACTCAGACCAGTGAGTAGTCAGAGAGATGCCTTCTGAACATGAGCAAGTTCAAATTCTAGTGGTGATGCACACGGCCTTAGCTCATGGCAAGACAAAAAAAATATTTCCATGTTCATCCCGGAGAACCATGCCAGCTCCTGTAGTTCCGTCCTTGGCAGGAAAGGACCCGTTGATGTTGAGCGCAGCCCAGCCGGCCGGTGGTGCCTCCCATCCAAGTGCTGATGGCTTCTCATGCTCTACATGTGATAACAATTTCCTGCTGTACAAGGGCGCAGCCACCATTTTTCCTTTGATGTGATCTCCATAAGGGTACGCCTGGATGGCTAGCAATGAGTTGATATAGCTGGTTAGGAATCTGGTCGAGGCTTCGACCAGCGGTGGTCGTTTGTCGTGGACGATCTCATTTCTCACATGCCAGCAATGCCAAATCGTCATGAGCGTATACATCCGCTCCTCTGGTGACAAGTGTTGGGGAACGTTGCAGAAAATTAAATTTTTTCCTACGGTTTCACCAAGATCCATCTATGAGTTCATCTAAGCAACGAGTCAAGGGAGAGAGTTTGCATCTACATACCACTTGTAGATCGCGTGCGGAAGCTTGCAAGGTGATGATGTAGTCGTACTCGACGTGATTCGAATCACCGATGACCAAGTGCTGAACGGACAGCACCTCCGCGTTCAACACACGTACGGGATGGGAGACGTCTCCTCCTTCTTGATCCAGCAAGGGGGAAGGAGAGGTTGAGGAAGACAGCTTCACCGGCAGCACGACGGCGTGGTGATGGTGAAGAGGCAGTACTCCGACAGGGCTTCGCCAAGCACACAACGGAGGAGGAGAGGTGTTGGGGAGGGGAGGGCTGCGCCTTGGAGGGTGGTGCGGCTGCCCTCCCCTCACCCCTCTATTTATAGGGGGAAGGGAGAAGGGGGCCGGCCCCCTAGAACCCATCTAGGGGGGGTGCGGCGGCCAAGGGGAGAGGGGGAGAGGGTGGCTTGCCCCCCAAGCCAAGGGGGCGCCCCCTCTAGGGTTCCCCCTCAACCCTAGGCGCATGGGCCCAAGGGAGGGGGTGCGGCCAGCCCACCAGGGGCTGGCTCCCTACCCCACGCAGCCCATGTGGCCCCCCCGGGAGGGGTGGCCCCTCCCGGTGGACCCCCGGAACCCTTCCGGTGGCCCCGGTACAATACCGGTATGACCCCGAAACTTCCCGGTGTCCGTTTGACAACTTCCCATATATAAATCTTTACCTTCGGATCCTTCCGGAGCTCCTCGTGACGTCCAGGATCCCATCCGGGACTCCGAACAACATTCGGTAGTCACATACTAGTCTTCCTAATAACCCTAGCGTCACCGAACCTTAAGTGTGTAGACCCTACGGGTTCGGGAGACATGCAGACATGACCGAGACGCTCTCAGTCAATAACCAACAGCGGGATCTGGATACCCATGATGGCTCCCACATGCTCCTTGATGTTGTCATTGGATGAACCACGATGTCGAGGATTCTATCAAACCCTGTATGCAATTCCCTTTGTCAATCGGTACGTTACTTGCCCGAGACTCGATCGTCGGTATCCCAATACCTTGTTCAGTCTCGTTACCGGCAAGTCACTTTACTCGTACCGTAATGCATGATCCCGTGTCCATACCCTTGGTCACATTGAGCTCATTATGATGATGCATTACCGAGTGGGCCCAGAGATACCTCTCCGTCATACGGAGTGACAAATCCCAGTCTCAATCCGTGTCAACCCAACAGATACTTTCGGAGATACCTGTAATGCACCTTTATAGTCACCCAGTTACGTTGTGACGTTTGATACACCCAAGGCACTCCTACGGTATCCGGGAGTTACACGATCTCATGGTCGAAGGAAGAGATACTTGACATTGGCAAAGCTCTAGCAAAACGAACTACACGATCTTTTATGCTATGCTTAGGATTGGGTCTTGTCCATCACATCATTCTCCTAATGATGTGATCCCGTTATCAACGACATCCAATGTCCATAGTCAGGAAACCATGACTATCTGTTGATCACAACGAGCTAGTCAACTAGAGGCTCACCAGGGACATATTGTGGTCTAAGTATTCACACGTGTATTACGATTTCCGGATAATACAGTTATAGCATGAATAAAAGACATTTATCATGAACATTGAAATATAATAATACTTTTATTATTGCCTCTAGGGCATATTTCCAACAGTCTCCCACTTGCACTAGAGTCACCAATCTAGTTAAATTGTGATGAATCGAACACCCATAGAGTTCTGGTGTTGATCATGTTTTGCACGCGAGAGAGGTTTAGTCAGCGGATCTGCGACATTCAGATCCGTGTGCACTTTGCAAATCTCTATGTCTCCATCTTGAACATTTTCACGGATGGAGTTGAAACGACGCTTGATGTGCCTGGTCTTCTTGTGAAACCTGGGCTCCTTGGCGAGGGCAATAGCTCCAGTGTTGTCACAGAAGAGTTTGATCGGCCCCGACGCATTGGGTATGACTCCTAGGTCGGTGATGAACTCCTTCACCCAAATCGCTTCATGCGCTGCCTCCGAGGCTGCCATGTACTCCGCTTCACACGTAGATCCCGCCACGACGCTCAGCTTGCAGCTGCACCAGCTTACTGCTCCACCATTCAACATATACACGTATCCGGTTTGTGACTTAGAGTCATCCAGATCTGAGTCGAAGCTGGCGTCGACGTAACCCTTTACGACGAGCTCTTCGTCTCTTCCATAAACGAGAAACATGTCCTTCGTCCTTTTCAGGTACTTCAGGATATTCTTGACCGCTGTCCAGTGTTCCTTGCCGGGATTACTTTGGTATCTTGCTACCAAACTTACGGCAAGGTTTACATCGGGTCTGGTACACAGCATGGGATACATAATAGATCCTATGGCTGAAGCATAGGGGATGACACTCATCTCTTCTTTATCTTTTGCCGTGGTCGGTGACTGAGCCGAGCTCAATCTCACACCTTGTAACATAGGCAAGAACCCCTTCTTGGACTGATCCATTTTGAACCTCTTCAAAATCTTATCAAGGTATGTGCTTTGTGAAATACCTATGAGGCGTCTCGATCTATCTCTATAGATCTTGATGCCTAATATATAAGCAGCTTCTCCAAGGTCCTTCATTGAAAAACACTTATTCAAGTAGGCCTTAATGCTGTCCAGAAATTCTATATTATTTCCCATCAAGAGTATGTCATCTACATATAATATGAGAAATGCTACAGAGCTCCCACTCACTTTCTTGTAAACGCAGGCTTCTCCATAAGTCTGCATAAACCCAAACGCTTTGATCATCTCATCAAAGCGAATGTTCCAACTCCGAGATGCTTGCACCAGTCCATAAATGGATCGCTGGAGCTTGCATACTTTGTTAGCGTTCCGAGGATCGACAAAACCTTCTGGCTGCATCATATACAGTTCTTCCTTAAGATGCCCGTTAAGGAATGCCGTTTTGACGTCCATCTGCCATATCTCATAATCATAGTATGCGGCAATTGCTTACATGATTCGGACGGACTTCAGCTTCGCTACGGGAGAGAAAGTCTCATCGTAGTCAATCCCTTGAACTTGTCGATAACCCTTAGCGACAAGTCGAGCCTTATAGATGGTAACATTACCATCCGCGTCCGTCTTCTTCTTAAAAATCCATTTGTTTTCTATCGCTCGCCGATCATCGGGCAAGTCTGTCAAAGTCCATACTTTGTTTTCATACATGGATTCTATCTCGGATTTCATGGCTTCAAGCCATTTGTTGGAATCCGGGCCCGCCATCGCTTCTTCATAGTTCGAAGGTTCATTGTTGTCTAACAACATGATTTCCAGGACAGGGTTGCCGTACCACTCTGGTGCGGAACGTGTCCTTGTGGACCTACGAAGTTCAGCAGTAACTTGATCCGAAGTACCTTGATCATCATCATTGTTTTCCTCTTCAGTTGGTGTGGGCATCACAGGAACATTTTCCTGAGCTGCACCACTTTCCCGTTCAAGAGGTAGTACTTCATCGAGTTCTACTTTCCTCCCACTTACTTCTTTCGAGAGAAACTCTTTTTCCAGAAAGCATCCGTTCTTGGCAACAAAGATCTTGCCTTCGGATCTTAAGTAGAAGGTATACCCGACAGTTTCCTTAGGGTATCCTATGAATACGCATTTTTCTGATTTGGGTTCGAGCTTTTCAGGTTGAAGTTTCTTGACATAAGCATCGCATCCCCAAACTTTTAGAAACGACAGCTTAGGTTTCTTTCCAAACCATAATTCATACGGTGTCGTCTCAACGGATTTAGACGGTGCCCTATTTAAAGTGAATGTAGCTGTCTCTAGAGCGTATCCCCAAAATGATAGCGGTAAATCGGTAAGAGACATCATAGACCGCACCATATCCAATAGGGTGCGATTACGACGTTCGGACACACCGTTTCGCTGAGGTGTTCCAGGCGGCGTGAGTTGTGAAACGATTCCACATTTCCTTAAGTGTGTACCAAATTCGTGACTTAAGTATTCT